TCAGATTCACATTCTCTGATTTATATCCACTTCTTCCCTTCCAGTTGAAAGCTGAAATTTCCTATATATACTGTCTTTCCTTATTAGAATGTGAGTTACTTGAGATCAAGGACTGTGAAGTTTTCCTATTTGTAACGTCAGTACTTTGCACACAGTAAGTGCTTCATAAATGCTTTTTTCATTCATTCATTCATTAACATTCAACACTCAGGACTCTCTACAATCCAGCCTCAAATATTTCTTTAGGCTTATATTCTACTCCTTCCTCCCCAAAAAATTCTCTGCTCCAGCCAAATTCATCGTTTTGGTGACTCCTAAATATTTTTGTTGTTGTTCAGTTGTGTTTTCTTGGCAAAGATACTGGAGTGGTTTGCCATTTCCTTCTCCAGCTAATTTGACAGATGAGGAAACTGAGGCCAGTGAGGTTAAATGATTTGCCCAGGGTCACTCAGCTAGTAAGTGTCTGAGGCCAGATTTGAACTCAGGAAGATGGGTCTTGCTGACTCGAAGCCTAGTGTTCTATCCACTGCTCCCTAGCTGCCCACTCCTAAATATACCTTGTACATTTTTTTCCTTCAGTCTTTGCTCATGCTATTTTCCCACTCAGAATGCACTCCCTATTTCCTTCCGCTTATCTAAATTCTATCCATTTTTCAAAGGCCTGCTCAGGCATCACCTGCTTTATGAAGCCTTTTCCAAAGTGACATCCCAAGGGCAGCTATATGGCTCAGTGGATAGAGCACCAGCCCTGAAGTCAGGAGGACCTGAGTTCAAATCCAGCTTCAGACTAAACACTTGACACTTACTAGCTTATGTGATCCTGGGCAAGTCACTTAACCCCAACTGCCAAAAAAACCCCAAACAAACCAAAGTGATATCCCTGTCCCTGAAACTTCATAAACACGATTATCTATACATGGAAAGAATGAAGACTTGGAGTCAGAAGACTTGGGGCCAAGTCCCAGCTCCAGTACTTCCTAGCTTTATTACCCTGGGCAAATCATTTAACTTTTCTGAGCCTCAGTTTTCCCATCTGTAAAATAGAGATAATAATACTTCCTCTCCCTACCTCACAAGATTATTGTGAACAAAATGCTTTGTAAACCTTAAAGCACAATAGAAATGGGAGTAATTATTAATTTGGCACTTAATTTTCACTATTTACTATTTATTATTTTACCTATATTTCCCTGCCTTCCCCCCCCCCCACTTTATAAGTACCTGGAAGGCAGAGCCTGGGTTTTATATATCATTATAACTCCAGTGCTTCATATAGACAATAATACTCAATAAATGTTTATTGTTATTGTTAAATGTTTATTTATGAGACTTCATTTTCCATCTCTTCCTTCCCTACCTGTTGTGTGGAACAGGGGCCTTTAAGTCTATTTCCTCTCTTGGTAAAAGAAACCTTGTTTGGCTGGCTGGGAATATACAGATCTATCTTAGAACTTCAATAATGAAAGGCAGAAGAGAGATCAATTTCTCCGAAATCTTGAGGCAGATTCCTAGCCTAAGCCAGGGAAATAGGACTGTGGACCTTTGATGTCCTTTCCAACTCTGTGATTCTGTGAAGATTCATCCACAAATAAAGGCAATAGGCCAACTGATTGGTTTAGAAGAGAGAAAAAATGGTTTTGTGCTAATTGCTAGATTGAAAGAATGTCCATGGGGGCAACTAGGTGGTGCAGTGGATAGAGCACCGGCTCTGAAGTCAGGAGGACCTGAGTTCAAAGCCGGCCTCAGACCAAACACTTGACACTTACTAGCTGTGTGACCCTGGACAAGTTGCTTAACCCCAGTTGCCTAACAAAAAAAAAAGAAGAGTGTCTAGTATCAAAGGTGAAATGACCTTTGGGAGCGTGATGCCAGATAGGACTTCAAAGGGCATAGGAATTACTTCTTTTATCCTTTCTAGAAAACCAGTGACCTCCCCTTTTCGCCACCCAACTCATATGGGGCATCTTGAGAGGTTGTTGAACGGGTTAAAAGTAGGAAGGGTTGGCAGAAGTATGAGTGGCTTTGGCCGAAGTCTTAGGGGAGATGAAAGGGGAAAGGAGTATCAGACCAAAAAACCAGAAAATCACTAGTGTTTATTCATCTGGTCAAACCCTAACTTCCCCCAGGCCTCTCTATTTCCTGCCCTCCCCCAACTTCCCCCACTAATAATTTTTTATTATTGCTAAGAGGCTCATTTTATTTTCTAAGAACAGCCTGGATACAAATCATGGTGAGGAAATATTTTATTTAGTAGCTTATTCTGTACAGAAAAAAAAATACTCAAGCATCTTTTTCCTGGATAAATCTGACCTGGTTTAGTTTTTAGCGCAATGAATGGAAACACCTTTTCCTAGATACTTCTGGTTCAGTAGAATGGACCATTATTGGGCCAGAGGCCCAAGCTAGCTTTACAGTGAAGGCAGCAGCATGTTACTTTAAAAACAAACGAGATAAGCCAAGTGAGGGAGAAGGACTAGGGTAGCAGCCTGGGGAAGGGAATAGTATTCCTGCCATGCAGTGTGGGGGAGTTGTAGGTAGCCTCTTCCTTTCCTTCAGGCCACGTAAGAAATTCCCAGGCAGTCTCATTAGATTTGAGAGACACTGAGGGACTAACTGTAGTGTGGAAGATACAGCTGGCCATCCCCCAGAGCAATCCTACCCTCTTCTAGTTATACAGAAACAACCCATTGTCACTTATGACAGGATTGGGGTCTACCTGCCTTTAGAGACATCCTCCTCCTAAGTGCTGCTTTCAGCCAGCATTTAGATAGATCCCTAAGCATCTATCTTAGAAGTACCATTGGAAGTAGAAGCCCACCAACCCTGCATTGGAGGGTTGAGATGAGGGAGCCAGAAGGGCAAGGCAGAATCCTCCTACCCCAGCTCCCCTGCCCCCACCTCCAGCTTATATGATAGGGAGGCCAGTGATGATAGTCATTACCCCTAACAGCTCAGGCTATGGTTGCCATCACCTCTGTTAATAGAAAAGAATAAGGACTACTGATAGGGATAAGTTGAATTGGACTATTAAAAAAAAAAGTGTATGTGGGCTAGGAACCAACTGCTAGGATTCAGAAACAGAGCTAAGAAGTTTTCCACCAGACTTAGCCTCTACAGTAAGAGTAAGAACCCAGAAAGCTTCTTCCCCAAGGGCTCTCCTTTCTTACTTTCTCTGCTTCTTCCTCTACCTACCAGTAGGCCCCCTTCAAGCCCTAGCAGCAGCACTGGACTGTGGGGAATGATTAGTCTTCTGAATATCACAAGCTCACAATAGATGCCTCTATTTCCAACAAGATCAGCCCTTTCTACCCTTTCTCAATCTCCAGTGACCTCAGAGCCAATCCTCCAACTCTAGACTATGACCAGAACCAGTGACCATCATGAGACAGGGAGTCCGGGGCGTCCTACCCATCCCTCCCCTGACCCCACCCTTCATGAGGGTAAGGTGTCCTGCCCCTCAGTGTAAGCTCTCTGTGCACTTTTCTGTACACATATTTACATAGATATGCATATATAGTATATATTATTTTTTCTATCTCTCTTCCATAGGTAAACCTTCTATACATGTCATGTGACCTTTCCCCCCCAAACCCCACCTACACCTTATCTAAGGTGTCTAGTGTTGTAAGGAGGTGAATGATAAGGCATAAAAGTTTTGTGGTTTCAGTGGATTCTCTCAGTACCACCACCTTTTTCCATCTTCTCACCCCAGCCACCTCAAGGACCCACCACTTGCAGGAATTACCAGACCATCCTCTGAAGCCTCCCCCATCTGCACCCATAACTCTCTCTCTCCCTTTTTCCCTGTATTCCCAGATGATGGTCCATGGAGATGTGATCCATTTCCTTAAGAACTGTCCATATCTGGAGGCATATCTCACAGTTTAGAAGAGAAATAAGATTCAGCTGGGGACAGAGACTGCCCTCTGTTGAAGGCATTCAGGGTTTGATAGGAGAGTGGGATCCCTGACATGTGGGTGGGTGGGGTGAGTGCCAGAGCAGACCGAAGGAAAACATGCCAAATAAAGTGCAACTTACAAGGAATCCTGGAGCTGGGGATGGGAGGCAAATGGGGAAAGGGCCACGGAGGGAAACCAGTGAATTGGGCTCTAAGCAATTTCTCAAGTTTGCTTACTGTCCAACAAGTTGGGAGGTTTGAGGAATTAAGACTAAGGGACTGGAGGGAGAGAGGAAGAATGACTCACGTAAGGGGGTGGCAGCTATGTGCAGAAGAAACCAGATGGATGGGGACTGATTAGGAATAACACATAGATATGGACATTATATGTCAGTGTGTATGTGTCCCCTTTCTGTATATAGACACATACAGAAGAAATCAGGAAAGTCTGATTTTTAAGAAAGGAAAATCCAGCAGATGGCCCTCTGCTTCTGTTTCCTGTGGAAGCCTTTCAAGTATCTGCAAGCTTCAACTCTGTCTAAACTCCACCTAGGCCAGGGGCCTCTAGTGGGGTCTGTTGTAGGCAGAGATTGATGGAGAGGTGGTATCAGTCTCCACTTATTAGTTAGGATTAGCCAAGTCCAAAAGGCTCTTCATGGGTGGAGCTTATGCAGATGTGGTCAGCTTGTGATCCTGAGGCCCGCCTAGAGATATTATGAGCCTGTCTACAAGGCTACAGGATGCACATACACATACAACACATTTTTTTGTAAAATTATAGGTTGGAATGTGATTAGCTGGGCATCAGTTTATATAAACCACCAGATAGTTGCTTCTTCTGTAGCCTACTGTCTCTTGATGTAGAGACAGGGTTTTCTCTCAGCTGCCTCATTTAATGACACTCCACAAGAACCCTGCAAAACATGTCCCTGGTACCTGCCAGTGGGGCTAACCTCTATGGATATAGAGGCTTTCTTCAGGCTCTCCAACCTGGTCCCTGCCAGGCAATGGATCATAGATTTGGCGCCAGAAGAGACCTTAGAGGTCAGTTAGGCCACCTAATTTGCAGATGAAGGAACTGAGACCCAGAGAGTTTAAGTGATTTGCTCTAGGTCACACAGGTAGTAAATGGCAGAACCAGGATTTGAACTCAGGTCCTCTAACTCCAAATCCAGCATGCTTCCTGCTGCATCACACTGTCTTCCTTGGGTGGGCTGTCTTGTTCCTTTGAGAATACTTGCCCACTAAGCATCTGGGACTGAGTTTTGGGGGAACAATAGCATTGGGACAGGGTGGATCCTCTTCCTTTAGGCCCTAGGAATGTCATATTCTTCTTTCTGAGAGCATTCAGGTATTTATCCAGTGGCCTGGGAAGTAACTTGTGCTTTTCAGAGGTGTCCAGGGTAAACAAGAGTGGCAATAGTGACTTCCAACCATAGATCTTGCTTTCTGTCTGGTCCTCAACAGTACATCACCAGTTCCTTGAAGGCACATCCAAGAAGCTTTACCCAAAGGCCTGGCATATGGAAAAATTCCCACTTGGTGAGATTGATTCAATTTCACTAGAGCTTCTGGGCCCTGAGATCTGGTCTTCAGTGTAGCAAAGAATAAAGAAAAGTCCTTCTCTTCACTTCCCATTCACCTTGTGAAACAGAGCCAATATGGGAAGGGAAAAGGGAATTGAACAAGCTGGTGAGAAGGGAGCGGTACCTAGGTACAGCTTCTGACTGAAACGTCATCTTAGACCCTTTCCTGAGGGTTCAGACATCTGAACCCTTCCTTGGAGAATGCAGTTGCCAGGGTCCAACCTCTCACAGAGTAGCCTAGGGAGAGAAGCGCCTGGAATCTGGACAATATAGTGATCCCCAGTTTGAAGAATTTTAAACTCTGTAAGTGTGTGATTGTGGTATTACTAAATGTTGTGGTCATTTATTATGATCAGTCCCAATCTCTGGGGATAAAGGCATCAAAGGAGAGACGAGTCAGATCTTGGACCTAGGGAGAGGGTCCACCTGGGGAATTGTAAAGGGGCAAATGGTGGTGATCAAGCCAGAAGGTTTGGGCCAGAAGGGGGATCAGTCTCATCAGAGGAAGAAGTAGTATACTCTGTTGGGGTATAGCAAAGATACTATGACAGGTTTATGCTTTATCTATTGCCAGGTCCCAGCATCAGCAATATCTAAGAGTTGTAGTCCCCAGAGTGACCAGCAGAGAGAGTCGGGCTCAGGGAACTAGCTAGGTGGGAAGGGAGAAAAGGAAAATCCTCCATCCTCAAGGCACCAAGTTTCATAAATGGAGCACAGTCCATCCATCCATCCAACTGCACAGTTCTCTTATGGAGTCTCCAGTAATGGCTGGGATTTTCTAAGCCTCCGCAGCTCAATCTACTCTGTCCCAAATACCCCAAACCTTGGCTTGAGGGTGGGGCTCAGTCTAAAGGGGGACTGTTCCCTCAGGCTGGCCTAGGCAAATTACAGGCCACTGGGTGGAGGGAGATGGGATTAGGAGAAGGGTGATCCTGGGGCTCTCTCCAATGAGCCTGGGTAGGACACCCCACTTGGGAGCTGGGAGAGAGAGAACAGGCATGAGTCAGGGGGTAGGGTTGAACCAGAGAATATCTCCTCTGGCCAGAAGGGGTGAGGGAAGTGGGAGTCAAAGCAGTCAAACATTGCTGATTCGTACACTGAGGGCACTGCCCTCCTTCCCTTCCTGTTCCCGGAATGACTCCTCTAGCTTGAGCTTTTCAGGGTCCCCATAACGGACAGTGGTATCTCGGAGGCTGCCAGGAGGGCTCACTTTCACGACCTGGTCAAAGAGGCTGAAGTCAGCCACATACTTGCCACTAGCAGAGAGTGAGATGGCAGGTGTGAATTCATAGCCCCAGAGGATCTCCTCTGGCAAGTAGGATGTACGCACTTGGCAGGTGGCACTGGTGGATTCCACTGTCCCACTGAGGATGAGAACCAACTCAAAGTCCCCCTCACCACTTCGCAGGGGCAGGTCACGCAGAGGGCTGGATTCATCCACCACATGGTAGAAAGTAAGGGGTAGGATGAGGAATGGGCTGTCAGAGGCTGTATCCACCTGGAAGGCCACATTGACTTGATTGAGCCGGATGCTCTCCCCTTCCTTGGTTAAATGGGTCTGGAGCAGCTTACCTGTCACCTGGCAGCCAATGAGGAGGCTTTTGCGCATGTTGGCAACACGGATCATGAGGCAGGGTTTGCCATCGTGGGTGGCCACCACAGCATGCTGGCTGAAGCGGATGGTTTCGGCCCTCTTCTTGGGCCGGGCAATTTTAGCCAGGAAAGTGCCTGTGATAAAGATCTCCAGGATGGTGGTGAGCACCAGCTGGGCAATGAGGAGGACAATGGCCAGTGGACACTCTTCACTAATATAACGGAATCCGTAGCCAATGGTGGTCTGTGACTCGAGGGAGAAGAGGAAGGCACCTGTTACGTGTGTACCTGCACCACACAGGGTGTGTGGTTAGCAGGAGGCCCTAGCTCCAGGAGGTCTCCATGGGCCACAGCCACCAGATACCACACCACACCAAACAGAAACCAGGTGCCTGCAAAGGTGGCAGAGAATAATAACAGCTTGTAGCGCCACTGCATGTCAATGAAGGTGGTCCATAGGTCCTTGAGGTAGAGGAAGCGCTTGTCAGCAATGTGTTCCATACGGATGTTGCTGCGGCCATCCTTGGTCAGGACCCGCCGGCGGCGCAGCCCCGGGCCCATCAGGGGCCGGCTCTCTGTCTGGGTGGTCTGGCTGTAGTACACCTTTGCAACTGAAGTCATCTGGAGAGGAAGACAGCATGGCAGAGGTTTATACAATACCTTGGCCATCCTCTGGCAGTCACCCCTACAGGGTCTCTGAAAATTCTGTACTTTTCTGAGGATGAAGTTACCATCAACCTGGCCTCATATTTGACCAGTCTCATCCCATGATCCCCTGAGATGGGGGTGAGGAGAGACTGAAACAGGATCCGCTGCTCCTAAATAGCCCCAATCTCCATTAGGCCCCATAAGGAATTCTCTGGAGCCTTCTCATTCTAAGGTAGGATTCTGCTCATACTGGTGTATGTCATGAACAGGAAAGGCAATCCTATGAGATCATCTGCAGGCTTGCCCACTGCCACAGTGTAGAGCAACTGGGCTTGAATTCAGCCCCTGCTACTCCTAGAATGACTTAGGGCAAATTGCAACCTCTCTGGGCCTCAGTCTCCTTACCTGTCAAATGGAGATGTCTCTAAGATCCCTTCCAGCTTTCAATCTGTGACTATGATTATCCCCATTCCTAAAACCCAGTGAAGACACAGAGATCTTTAGCTACCTCAAAAACCATAATAGCTGACTTTTATATGGTGCTTTAAGGTCCACCTCTAATTCATGCTGGATGTGTGATCCTGGACAAGTCACTTAATTTCTCAGTGCTGTAGACAGTTTTAAAAGGCTATAAATTGCATCGAAGGTACTGACCTGCATTGGTATAAGGAGTTTTTCATCCAGGAGTTCCCTACATATCAGCACAATCACAGGCCTTGTCCCTGTACCTTTTTGTAGATTATGTCACTTCATCTTTACAAAAACCCTGTGAGGCAGGCACTGCAGATTTTGTTATTCCTCTTTGACAGTTGAGGAAACTGAGGCTTAGAGGTGGCATTTAAACCCAAGTCTCTCCTGACTCAAAGTCCAGCACTTAGTCAACTACACCACAACATCTCCAAAGCTGATCTCCCTCTCCTCTCTTCCCCTTGTCCCCAACACTTGGTGGTTAATCTCATGCCTAAGGGACGCTGTGTGTCACAGGTAAAGATATGGACCGGTGAAGGAAGGAGCTCTCCTGAAGGTGGTGGCCCATTTTCTTAAGGGGCCCCTGGGCAAATTTCAAATTAGAGAACTGTTCTGGCCCAGGAAGGAAGGTAGAAGAGGGACTGAGTGCTAATCGTTGGTGGTGTCTGACCAGACTTAAATTCAGGACTTCTGTGCATCCTGTGAGTAGAAAATCAAACAAAGCATTGAAATAGGAGACTGCCTCCTCTAGACTGGACATCTAGCACCCCTGCCTACCTGTGGAGTAACTTGTACTTTTCCAAGGGTAAAGAATCATTAGTGCCTAGGGGTCTGGCCTCCTGGGGATGTCCTGGACCTGCTCTGAGGAGGTAATTTCATCTTGAGGAGCAGGGGATAAATGAGCTCCATAAAGGCCTAACACTGCCAGGAAGACAGGCCACTAAGACCTTCAGACCATGCAGGGGTCTAGATTGCTGCTGCCTTTGCCTTCCCTTGTTTGAAAAAATTTTAAAGTGGGAATAGGGGTGATTCCTTCAGGAACATAATCAAAGTAATAACAATTATGTCAGAATTTCCTAGGAGGGTTTTTCTCATTGGTCTCAAGCTTTCAGTGGGAAATATCTCTGCTGCATTTGTAGTGACCCTAGAAAAAACCAGGACAAACACAACCTCAGTAGGCCATCTCACTCAGCTCCATCCTCATGGGCGCTAGGGCCTTTGGCTTCTAGCTGGCCTGTTTGCCACCTCCGCCTGTTGTGTCTGCCACCTCCAGTTGTTGTATCTGCTGGTGCCAGCTGTTTTATCTGCCTCCTTCATCTGTTATCTGATGCCCCCAGCTGTTGTGTCTGCCACCTCCCACACCCAAGTGACTTGGCTCCCCATGGAGAGCCAGGGCCAGGAGTGGCAGCGAAAGGATCTCCCTCTCATCCCCTCCACCTCCAAACTGGGCACATGTGGGAAAGCAGGCAGGCCAAAGCTCTAACAACACGGGGGACTATCTCCCCACTTTGCTCCCACTTCTACCACCAGAGGGTGATGTTGTTCTACTCTCCAGAAATCACACCAAAGTTCAGCTCTGAGAAGGCCAAGAGAGATCACAATCAGAATCCCAGGATTTTAGACCTGGGAAGGGAGCACAGAGATCACATAGATTTAGAACTGAAAGGTACTTCAGATGTCATAGATTCTAACTTCCCTTGTTGTACAGAAAAGAGCAGTGAGGCCCAAGAAGATGAAAGAATTAGGCCAAGGTCACACAGGAAGGAAACAAAAGAGCTTGGGATTTGAATGTAGGGCAGCTGACTCTTGTCCCAGGGTACAGTGGGTGGTCATACCCAGATTCTGCATAGGTGCGTCTCACTACTTCTTGCCCCCTTTCCTTCATATGGGGTAGAATGAAACAGCAAGTCTTAACTGTAACACTTATCCCCAAATTCCTCACTGAGTGTTGGCAGGAACACCCTTAACTATACTAGGGAGTTGTCTAACTTACCCAGATATCTTAATCTATAATGCTCTGTCTCAAAGTGGTAAAGGGATTTTTTTCCCCATTGGTTATTCAGTTAGAAAATTTTCAAAGCCATTTTTGTCTTCATTTTATAGACAAGGAAACTGAGGGCCAGAAGGGTAAAATAACTATACTGTTGTCACACAGTTATCCAAGTCAATGCAATAAACATGGTTTAAGTATCTTTCTGCAAAGACAAAAATCAAATCAGTCCCAGTCTTCCAGGAGCTAACCTATTGGATATCATAAGTTTTGAAATCATGATTTGCACCTAGTTTTCCTGACTCTTTTTCACTAACCATGGGGCCTCTAAAAGTGAATGGACAGAATTAAGGAAGCAATCTGTCCCTGTGAACCAATTCCACACACTTCCACACCCTCAGCTAATCCACAGGGTAATCAAACCAAGATCAAGACTTTGTAAGCTTGGTGCTCTAAATAGCTAAACAAGCCAGCCACAGCATGCATTTATCACATTTTTTTTTTAGCAATGGATTTTCCTTCTTAATGCTATTTTGTTGAAGCTCCTATTAAAATTAGGTACCCTCTTCTTCCCACCCTGACTGACAACCAGGGGAGGTCTTGATCAAAGCATGCTGGGAGGCCGGTGGGAGCCAGGTTGTTAGGAAGACTTTACTCAGGGATAATGCCCTGGATGAATGACATGAGGGTAATTAGAGGTGACAGCATTCTTTTTTGTTTCCTGTGCTCACTGTTCTCAAGCTTTCTTCTACTGGTTTTTCAGCCTCTCTTTCTTCTACAGATCCACTCCTCCCCACCCCCTTATTTTCTGATTTTTGTGCTGTGTCTTTTGTTTCTCATCCATCCTGTCATCTCCTTGGGTATGTTTTCTCCTTTTCCTACTTTCTTGTTCTTCTTTGTCTCTCTCCTCCTTTGTCTCTGTCTTCCCCTCCCTCTCCGCATGGGGCTCCCCAGTTTCTTGTGTTGGATTTGGAGTCAGGAACACCTGAATTTAAATCCCACCTCAGTTCAATTCAGCAAACATTTATTAAGTACCTACTATATGACAGGAATATGTTAGGCACTGGGGAAACAATAATAAAAATGAAATGTTCCTTGTCCTAAAAGAACTTACATAATAACTTTCTCTCTCTATCTCTCTGTCTCTGTCTGTCTCTCTGTCTCTCTCTGTCTCTCCTCTGTGTGTGTCTGTCTGTCTCTGTCTCTTTGTCTCTCTCTCTGTCTCCCTTTCCCTCCCTCCCTCTCTCTTCTCTCTGTCTTTATCTGTCTCTGTCTCTCTCTCTCTCTCTCACACACACACACATACCCCACACACTCTTTCCCCTCCTTCCCTTCCTCTCTCATTCATATACATATATATTCATATATATGTGTATGTATGTTCATGGTTGTGAGGATCACAGGAGGTAATCTATATAAAGCTCTTTGTAAACCATAATGCACTATATAGATGTCAGGTAATAATAATATATTTTTGTTTATATCTGTGATTTCTTTGGTGAAGGGGATTCATGATGAGGAAACTAACTCCCTCTAGCAATGCAGGTTGACAGTTGTTCAGCACTTAGGGTTTTAGAAAATTCACTGGGCACTGAAAGGTTAAATGGCCTGCCAGAGTCACAAAGTCAGTATGTGTCAGAGGTTGGACTTGAATTTGGGTCTTTCTGACTTTGGGGCCAGCTCTCTGTCCACTAGCCCTGCAAAGTCTCTATAAGAAAGATATCATTTCAGAAAATTTTGGAAAAACTGAATGGCAGTGTCCATTCCGCTTTTGGAAATCTCTAATTATGAAAGTTTCCCCCTATTTTGAGCTAAAATCTGCCTCTCTTCAACTTCTACCCCTTCCTCCTATTTATTTCCTCTGGAGCCACTCAGAACAAATCTGTCCCCTCATCTAGATTTTAGAAATGGTATGCTCTCCAGTCTTCCCATCATCCTGGTCACTGCTCTGAACTAACTAGAGATTTTCCTTTCAGAAATGTCCCCACTGCTCCAGGGGTAGGCTGACCAGAGCAGTGGTCAGGGAGGCTATTCTGTCTGGTGCAATTTTATCCCATTCCTATTTGTTTTGCCATCCAGGAAATGGGAAATCATTCCACAATCTCATCTTGCCAGGCTTGGCTTTATATCTTTAATGGATTACCAACTTCAACTCACACAGCAGTCTGGCCTGAAAGGCTCCCAAAGTAGATTAAGTACAGTGGAGCAGGATCTTGCAAAGACATCCATGTTTGGGAAGGGGGGAATGGAGAGACAAGAGGAGATGAAGAAAGAGAAGTGGAGGGAGGGACAAAGAAGAAAGCATTGTGGGTTAGGTTAGCCTTTGGGGAAGAAATGTGGTTGGATTTGGGATTTATTCTCTTGAGGCAGCTTTATTTTTCATTAATTTCTAGAAAGATAGAGAAGTAAAAATGGAATCATATGAATAACAAAACTTGGAGGGGAGGGTGGAGGAGGCAGGATGAGGGCTATGTGTATGTGTGTGTGTTCATGCTCATTTCTGGCTGTGTCAAAA